ATAGGCATATTATCTTATCCAGGTTACTAATAAACGTCTGCACAGAACTGAGACTGTTGATAGGCATATTATCTTATCCAGGTTACTAATAAACGTCTGCACAGAACTGAGACTGTTGATAGGCATATTAACAACTATATAATTAAATTGCGTAAAATGTTTACAATTACTTTTACATGCTTAAGTTAAATTCAACCTGAAACGTTACTTTTGTAGCTTGATCATTGTATCTACTGTTTAATTATTTTTGTTGTCAAACTCAAAGCTGCACAACGGGTTATTTGTGCTATGCCCACCAGGGGTATTGAAACTTGATTTTTATTGTCCTAAGCCTGCAGACTTACGGCTGAGCTATTTTTTTTTGGGGGGATGGACGAAGATAGTTCATCTCTAACCACTCGGGGGGGGGGGGACAACCGCCCTCTTGAACACCCTTAATGGACAAACATACAGCCTTCCCAAATAAAATATTATTCTCACCAACCCAAAAATATTATAAAGTGTATGGGACATAACAGCCTACCCAAACTAAAGACTCACCCAAAAATAGTTAATGGAAGTGGAGAAAATTATTTGTTGAGATATATATCATAACAAACACACAAAATACTGTTTAACATAACAGATCTAGTTTGAATAACTTGGGTATGGAAGAATGACATTAGTTCCAGTACATTTTTATTAATGTTAGAAAACAAAAAAAACTGTACACTTTACCAAACAACTAATAGTTTTATTTTTTATTTTACAGAACACATTACTCAGTGTATCTGAGTAAAATTATCTGTATTGTTTTCCTAAGCCACAATTGAAATATTTTAAAAAAAAATTAAGTATTGAAATTACAAAATAAAACCTTCAAAATGTTTACTGTATATTTTTATAAAAACAATGCCATTTGTAATATTCTTTCTATACTAATTCTAATGGCCCATCACCAACCTTGATGAAGTTTCTTGTTTCAATAATTTCTTTATAGCAGGATCCCTTGTTCATTTTAAAATTCGTAATTTTTTAATACGTTTGTTTGTTTACTTTTTATGTATAACGTATCTGCACATATAATACTTAAAAGATACAGCTCTAATCCATAATTTGAAATAAACAAAAGTGTCAAGCACTTTGGAATACAGTCTGATACATGTGAACTTACGAGTAAAAGCAAACAGAAGAATGTGTAATATGTCAACCACACTACAACTGCCATATTCAGGCCTTTCGCTTAATACCAGGCCTAATCACGAGGGCTGGGATATGACAGACATATTAGTAGTCTAGGTGCTATTTATATCGTCAATTATAAAAACAATTGTAATGGTGTGAACGAGGTTAAGTAAGTGTGAATTGTAATTATTATCAATTTTATACAAGTCATTTACAAATCATACTTATCTATGATACGTAACTTAACTATTTTTGCCTTGAATATTTGTACATATCAATCTGCGCTGTATCCGATCCGGATATCGAACCCCGAATTTTAGCTTTATAAGTCCTCAAGTTTTCCGGCGATAATAAGAAAGAAAGCATCCGTTCTA